TGAAAAATTCACATGGTGGGGCATTCTTAAGCCGAGGTTCCACTGTATATGCTTAAGGCCTTATATAGACCCGGAAGCATAGCATTCAGCATCTCAATCACCTCCAGTTTTTTGTAATAAGCACAGTTTCCTTGCTTCACCAGCATCACCTGCACTACATTTGGAAGCCATGATAAAGATTCAGAGATGAGATGGGAGGATGAAATGAAAAAAACTGAGAAATGTGCACTGAGCTAATATTGTATGGTGTGTGTCCAGGTGCATGACATGTGTCTGTCTGTTTACATCTCATCTCATCACCCTCCCTCACACCTTCCTCCACAGTGATAAGACACCATTGTTGTCTAATGTTTAGTGGTAGGTCTGAGGCCTACCTGTTCTGGTGTTCCTTAACCCTTTCAGGGTTGAGAGGCCCTCTCTTAAACTTACTCTCAGGGTAGAAAATTTTTCAGAAAAAAAAAAAAATCTTATGAAATGATAGAGAATCTTTTCCCGATCATGACACCAAAAGTATGAAATTTCATGGAAAATTTACGAAATTATGCTCTTGTGAAGTTAGCGGTCTCGACAATGCTAATGCATCGGTGATTTCGCCAACTTTGAGCCTTATTTTCGGCCAATTCCAGTGTACCAGTCAACAAAAATCATAACTATTTCACTAGAACTCCATTTTTTTCTATCGAATGAGTACAAGAAACCACCCATTTACCGATTTCAACTATCCAATAAAGTGGTCAGAAACTGGCAATTTTGCCAATTTCTGACCACACAAATTTCAAAAAATGCAAATTTCCAAATAGGGTCCAGAATAAACAAGACAGACATTCTTGGCACTAAAGTAACATTTTCTTCTGTTCATTAGTCAAGTCCCCAGCCCCTCTTACATTTCTTTTGCTTTCCACTTTGAATTTTTATTCTCACAAAAAATAGAAGATTTACTGTTATGCAGACTACTGCATTAGTATAGAAATGGTATAAATAATATCAGCGCACTTGTGAAAGAATATCAGACTCACCAGTTGACTTGTATTGGACGCGTGGCATGATTTGTTTATTTTTGAACTTTGGTAAAAATCGAACATTTCTGCTACTTTGAGCTCAATTTCAAGGTACTTTTCATTGTGAAACCACTCAAAATCATCTCAATTTCTGTAATATGTCTTCCATTCTATAAAATGAGACCAGGAAAACTAGAATACAACCATAAATACCATACGAAAATACACTGCAAAGTCACTGTTTTAAACCAAAATCACGGTCAAAGTTTTTTTTCTTATTACGACACTGTGTGCTGCAGGATTTTTTTTATACTGTGCACACTGACCACATAGACCCATTCTTTCATATGTAGGCCTACCAGCTTTCTCTTGCTAGATATGAAGGCGCTAGAGTTTACGCGTACTAGTACGTCAATAACCCTGGTGCGTAAGATGTACTAGTACATCGGAAACCCCTTAAAGGGTTAACAGAAATATGAGCAACCAATGTAAATGAATTCCATTCCAACTTGTCTTAACAGAAATGGACATGCTTCTATTAGAAATAAAAACCTCAACATTGTACTGGTGCTCCTCGACTTATGATGGTTCGACTTACGATATTTTAACTTTACAGCGATGCAAAACAATTACTCTGGAAATGAAACCTAAGATAATTAACCATATGAAGGTGGCAAGTCCATAACTTGCATTTCATTTATTTACTTTTCAATACTTGTATTTAGTTAGTTACAGTAATTATTTGTTTAATTACTTACTCAGTAACAGTAGTTATTTATTTACTCATCTATACTTTTTCATTTCTTATTCTTTCAATACCGGCTACCCACCAGGGTGCCAAAGGAAAACTAATCACTTTACATTTAGTAATATAACAAGGAGAAGAGGTTACAGCCCCTTAGGTTGTCCACTGTTTACACCTTACCACACCCTGGCTCCGGAAAATTCTTTCCACTTCCGGAAATTAGCACTAACGGTTCAACTAAAAAAATAGAAGTAACCCAAAAGTAAGATTTTGGAATTAATGGATGATGTAGTGTGACCTAAGTGTAAGTAAGTAGCAAGACTACCTGAATATCTTGCATGTCATGAGCACCTAAAACACCAGCAATACATCATGTACAATTACAGCTATTTGTTTACAGACTCATGCAGACGTAGTACCTCCTGCTATTTCCACCAACAACTATTTTTTCCTAATGACTTAAAAGGATTTACTTACTATCAGTTTATCAGAATGTAAACCCATCATAAGTTAGGAGCACCGATATGAAAACACATATATATCATGCCAAAGTTGGTTACTAACTATTACACTTAGTATTTTCAGTTGGTTAAGCTCCTTACTTCCAACAATGAGGCAATAAACTTCACAACACCAGTAACAAACAAATACATCTGTGTATTCCACCTTTCAAAATTATTAAAATTTTAAATAAGGAAAAATACCCAGACCAAAAAAACAGTTTACTAAATGATATGTATCTTGTATCGTACATGTGAACTGCATCTCCTTAACTTACATACAGGCAAGTAATGCTTATTTTCACAGCCCTATACAATAGTTGACAGACCACTAGTAAAACTATTACCAGTGTACTACTATACAATAAATTCCAGATATCAAAAGTTTTTTGTTCCTAAAGAATAAAAGGGCACAATACCTTGACTAGTTAGTAGTCCAACTCGGACTAAAACATCATAATTAGTTAGTCCAAGTCGGACTAAAACATCATAATTAGTTAGTAGTCCAAGTTGGAGTAAAACATCATAATTAGTAGTTCAAGTTGGACTGAATTGTCTTAACTTCACAATGAGGCAGCCATTAATAACTTCACAACAGCAGTAACAAACATTGACTGGCACACTGAGCTAGAAATCTATACAGATATTGACGAATGTATTAATAATTTTCTAAAAAAGACCCAATACCCCTATAACAAGAACTGCCCTAAAAAAACTAAACAGATGACAGCTAAGAGACTGAACAGTCCCTGGCTAACACCCAGCATTCTCAAATCCATAAATACAAAACACCTATATGAAAAACAGTACAGAATGGGTCACATAACCAGAGACCAAACAAAATGTTACTCGTCAATCCTAACCAGCCTGAAAGAAGGGAAAAAAAAATTGTATTATGGAACAGTTTTATCCAACTCGAGGTGATATAAAAAAGACCTGGAAAACCCTATCAGAAATTCTAGGAACAAAAAAGATATCACGAAAAAAGTGAAATAAAATCGCAATCAGATGAACCCCAACTCCCACCAACAGAAACAGCAAACAGACTCAAGTTTTCTTTTCCACTATAGCACAAAAACCTTGCCAAAAAATCCCAAGCTCAGATACCCCACCAAATGACTACCTCACTGGCAACTACCCGAACACACTTTTTCCTAGCTCCGACTAACCCATACGAAGTCCCCCTTTAATTATCAACACACTAAAAAAACAAGGCAGGAGATTTAAATACCTTACCACCCTTTATATACAAAAAAGTGTCACAAGTGCTATTACCAATCATTGCAACACTCTTTAACAAATCCATTGAATCCTCTACCTTCCCTACAGTTCTCAAAATAGCAAGGGTCACCCCAATCCATAAAGGAGGAGACCAAACAGAGTTGAGTAACTATAGGCCAATATCCAACTTACACCCTCTCTCAAAAATCTTCGAAAAATTAATTCATAAATGAATCTACTCCTACCTCATCTCCCAAAACATACTCAACCCCGGGCCAATTTGGATTCAGGCCTAATAAAAATCCCAAATGATGCAAATTATACACATGCTAGAACATATATACACTGCAATAGAGAAAAAAGAAGTCCCACTGGGGGATCTTCATTGACTTACGTAAAGCTTTTGATACAGTTGACCACAACTTGCTCCACATAAAATTGTCACACTATGGTATAAGAGGGCACTCCCTCAACTACCTAAAGTCATACCTCAGCAACAGAAGCCAATATGTGTACACAAATGGGGAAAAACTCTTCCGCACAACCAAATTACAGTTGGTGTCCCAAGGGAAGTGCCCTTTGGGCCCTCTTCTCTTTCTTATTACATAAATGACCTACCAAATGCTTCGCAATTATCAAACCACACTTTTTGCAGATGACACTACATACGTCTTCTCTCACCCGAGCCCAGTCATGCTAGCCAATATGTAAAAAACCGAATTACAGAAAATATCTACCTGGATGAGGACTAACAAACTTACACTAAACATTAACAAAACCTACTTCATTCAGTTTGGTAACAGAGCTAAAAGATGTCCCTCTTAACATAATGATAAACGGATCACCTACACAAAGCTAACAGAGGGAAAATTCTTAGGAATCCACCATGATAATAGACTCAAATTTCATACACATATACAACAAATTCTAAGAAATTTCAAAGCCGTAGTCTTTACTATCGAAGATACGGTACTATGTTCCCAGTCAGCCCTCCTGGCCCTATCTCACCTATGGAATTTGTGCATGGGGCTCAACAAAAATTTAAACCCATCTCAAACCACTCATTACCCAAAAAAAGGGCTGCAGTCAGAATGATAACAATTCCCACTACAGGCAGCACACCCCACCAATATCAAAACACTAAACCTACTCACCATACAAAACATCCATACTTATTACTGACCTATTACTACATAGAACACTTAACTCTGATATTAACCCTCCCCTCAAACATCTCTTGCCAACCTCAACAGAACACATGACCATAACACAAGGCAATATCACTCTTTGATGTTCCACGTGTCCATCTCACGCTAGGCAAAAACTCAATGCACATAAAAGGCCCTAAAATCTGGAATTCATTACTTGTAAATATAAAAGAAACACTACCTGTTTATAAATTCAAGTCTCTTTCTCAAAGATCACTTACTCACCCAAAACCAAATAAATACTGAATAACTGAACCTTATAAATTGTATATTTTCAAGTTTCTCAAATTATATCACATAAAATTTTAAAACCCTAAGCCCCAAATCTAACTTTGTTATTTTTTAAATACATACCTAACAGAATACTCCATTCTACTGAATGTACAGCAATCCATGCAACCATATGATCTGTCTTTGTAATACTCTTTTGGGTGCTTATTGTTATCTGTTTTGCAATAATGTTTTATCACTGATTACATCATTGCTTAGTTAATCTTAAGTTAATTTTAAGCCTGCCCGTAATGCTATGCATACAAGTGGCTTTGGCATGCTGCTCTTACCTGTATTTTTTTGTACCTCTGTATGTATATTCAAATTATTAAATAAATAAATAAATAAATTAGTTCCATTTTCCTATTCTTAATACAAGTTATGTATCATTGGATCATAGAAAAATGTTAATGATAGTCAAGGAAAGCCATTAAATTACCCAATCCAGGCTTGGTGCTAGTTATTGTGTGTGATCAACCTAAATGAAAGACATCTAGTGGCTCTGGCAAGTTATTATGATGACAAGTTGAAGAACTGGACACACTTGCAACATTTGAGAATCTTTATTGTTGAAATGTTTCACCAACAAGTGGCTTCCTCAGTTTGGTACAGAGATGTATGATGGAAGATGAGGAGTTTGAGGTAATCAGTCCCTCAAGGGGCCCAGGGACACTTCCCTGTGGAACATCAATGTCCAGAGAGAGGTCTTGTTGAAGAGGTCATGTCCTTAATAGAGGCGAATTGCTGTCTATTAGGAAGGTAAGACTTAACAAATGCAAGTGCATGACCTCTGATACCATAATGATTAAGTTTATGATGCAGGATGCTGTGGTCTACTGTATCTAAAGCTTTCCTTAGGTCAGTAAAGAGTCCAGCGGATATTTATTTTTTTCAAGGACAGCTTCTCCTCACTTAACAACAGAGTTCCATTCCCAAGAACACATCACTAAATGAATTCATCACTAAGTGAGGAGCATACTATAATGGTAGTGGGTTTGTGTCAGCCATCTTTGATATTATTTTAATGTCACCTTTGCACCATTTATAACGTTTTTAGTATATTTTTAAATTTTATACAGTAGTATACTGTATATTGTAATAAACAGAACAGAGGAAATCAGCTCTAATATACATTATTTAGGAATGCATACTCGTCAGAGAGCCCATCATAAGTCCGAGTCGTTGGTAAACGAGTACGTCGCTAAGTGAGGAGAAGCTGTACTGTGTAAAGTAGGTCTAGCATTTTAAAACTGCATCATTTGTGCTTTTATTTCTCCTGTAGCCAAACTGGCAGGGGTTGAGGATGTTTTGTGATGTTATAAAGGAGTATAATCTCTCATCTATGAGCTTCTCGAAGATTTTGGATAGCAAAGGTAAGTTAGATATTGGCCTACAGTTGTTTACATCTGTTGGGTCTCCACCTTTGTGTACCGGAGTAACCCTTGCTATCTGGAAATGTGTCAGGAAAGTGCTGGTTTCTAGTGATTTGTTTAAAAATAAATTTTAATGGTGGGTGGAGGCATGAGTTGCTTGTTTGAACAACAGTGGTGGGGCAGAGGATGAAAGGGAAGTTTCAATCTAAGTAATCACTTGCTTGGGTATTGATGACTTTATTTCCCATGGTGAGAAGAAATCACTTACAGTGGTCCCTTAATAATCGTCCGGGCCCGAAAGTGGTCCATTTCGGGAAAAACTGTAGTCCTGTTTTTTCGTCAAAATATGGCTCGCAAATGTCCAGTAAACTCGCTAATAGTCCCTTCGTCCCGGACGCGAAATCATGCTCTGAGCCCCCTCGAGCCGCCTCAGCCTTTCCTTCCCAGCCAGTGTGCCATTGTTTACCAGTGAGCGACGGTCCCTCACGTGCTCCAGCGAAATATTTCATAACATTTCCATTTATTTTAGTGCTTGCAAGTTATTTAAGTGCTAAATAAAGCTACCATGGCTCCCAAAAAAAGCTCCTAGTGCCAAGCCTTTGGTAAAGAAGGCGAGAAATACAATTGAATTTAAGAAAAACATCATTGAACAATATGATAGTGGCGTACGTGTGGGCGAACTGGGCCCGGATGTATAACAAATCCCGTACAACCATATCTTCCATCAAGCCAAGAAAAAGGAAATCCAAGGATGCTGTTGTGGGAAAGGGGGTAAATATGCTGACAAAAATGAATCACCAGTACTCGAAGATGTGAGAAGTTATTATTGGCGTGGATAAATGAGAAACAAATTTGTAGGAGATGTCTTATGACGTTGCTTATTTGTGAAAGGCTAGGCGTTGCATGGCAATTTGGTAAAGAAATTGCCTGCAACTAGTGATGATGTGAGTGAATTTAAAGCCCGCAAGGCTGGTTTGAGAGATTTAAAAAAGATACTGGCATACACAGTGGCTAAGGCATGTTGGGGGCTGCCAGTTCGGACCACAAGGCGGCTGAAAAATATGTGCATGAATTCAAGGAGTACATAAACAGTG